GTTCAAGATTTTAAGAAATGCACTTGTTTACTTGTTGAGATAGAGCTGAGAAGACTGACACTGGTGACACCACTCTCTCATAAATATGAAGCTACCTCCAGCAAACAGTTAGCCTTGCAGGAATGGAGGAAATACCCCACGTCTGTGTCCAAATGACAGAACATCTCCCTACCAGCACCTTTGTAGATTCCTTGTTTTCAACAGAAAACAGTGTACAATCAGTGGGTTGTCATTTTCAAATTCTAGTAGAAAAATAATAAATAATCTTGGTTGTGTGGTTCAGTAAATTAATTTTTATACAATTCAGTCTGTGGCCTCCCTTTTTTGCACCCACCCTTGTACTGAGTAGTGCTTTGTAGCAGGTAAATGAAGCCCTAATTTCAAAGAAGGCCTCAAAACATAATTGTGATACAAATACATTATTTATGGAACCAAATGCCCCAAATAGGGCAGCATAACTATTAAAAAGTAGTGCAAAAGTCAGACGTGTGTGTAATGTAGGGATGAGTCTAAGTGGTGCTTTGTGGGCTGTACAGTGAAGCAAAGCAGACAGGATGAGGAGGTTTGGGTGGAAATGATGCCAAAAGCCCAGGGAGAGATGACCAGATGGCAAACCTTTATGCACTTTGCACTCTGGTCAGCCCAGATGTTGCAGGTTCAAGCAAACAAGCCTCCTAACTCCACCTACCAACTACCTGCAGGGACAAATAACTAGTAGATATGCAGGCAGGGATAGGTGGAAGGGTTGTCACAATAAATGTGTAAAGAAATTCTATTAACCCTCTGAATCCCAACGACTTTGACAGGCATGTTATCCTTCTATCTATCAGATTTTTAACTTTCCAATGGTCCTTGGAAAAATCAACTGTGATGTGCTATTGTGATATTTGATGAAATTCACTTTATTCTACGCATCTCAGTTTTAAAGAAAATAAATAAAAAAATAAATGTCCAAAAATAAATTCCTGTAAAAAACAAATCCTGGGCTCTTTGCCACAACCATGATGACATTTCTAAGCTTAAAACTGAGATCCATCCATCCATCCATCCATTTTCTTCCACTTCTCCGGGGTCAGGTCGCAGAGACAGCAGGCGGAGCAAGTAATTCCAGACTTCCCTCCCCCCGGTGACGCCTTCCAGCTCTTCCTGTGGGATCCCGAGGTGTTCCCAGGCCAGCCGAGAGGCATAATCCCTCCAGCAGGTTCTGGGTCTGCCCCGGGATCTCCTTCCAGATGGACGTGTTGGAAAACCTCCACAGGAAGCATCCAAGTCAGATGTCCAAACCACCTGGCTCCTTTCAATGCGAAGTAGCAGTGGCTCTACTCCGAGCTCCCTCCGGATGTCTGAGCTCCTCACCCTATCTCTGAGGCTGCGCCCAACAACCCTGCAGAGGAAGCTAATTTCGGCTGCTTGTATCCGCGATCTCGTTCTTTCAATCACGACCCAAAGCTTGTGACCATAGGTGAGGGTTGGGACGTAGATGGGCTGGTAAATCAAGAGCTTCCCCTTGCAGCTCAGCTCCCTCTTCACCACAATGCTGATGCCGCACCAAGCCGCCTGTCCACCTCGCACTTGGACAAGACCCCAAGATAATTAAACTCCCTCACTTGGGGAAGCAAGGAGCTTTTTAACTACCCCGGCAACCTCTACCACGGATATGGACGCAGAAACCCCCAAGTCTTCAGGCTCTGCCCCCTCAGCAGACCCAGTCTGGGTCAGCAGTTCTCCTCCCTGGCTGTACACAGCCTGGGCAAATCCCTGCCTCCCCTTTCTGAGGCGTCGGACGGTTTGCCAGAACTTCTTCGAGCCCGACCGAAAGTCCTTCTCCATAGCCTCCCCAAACTCCTGCCACACCCGAGTTTTAGCTTCCACGACCACAGCTGCAGCCCTTTTGGCCTACCAGCACCTGCCTGCTGCTTCAGGAGAGCCCCGTGCCAACCAGGCTCGAAAGGTTTCCTTCTTCAGCCTGACGGCTTCCCTCACCACCAGTGTCCAGGTTTTGGGATTTCCGCCACGACAGGCACCAGTGACCTTCTGGCCACAGCCACTTCTGCAATGGAGGCTTTGAACATGGCCCACTCTGACTCCATGTCCCCAACCTCCTCCGGGATGCAGGAGAAACTCTTCTGGAGGTGAGAATTGAAAACCTCACAGACAGGGGCCTCCACCAGACGTTCCCAGTTCACCCTCACTACGCATTTGGGTTTACCAGGTCTGTCTGGAAGCCTACCCCGCCATCGAATCCAACTCACCACCAGGTGGTGATCAGTTGACAGCTCTGCCCCCTCTGCTCTTCATCCGAGTGTCGAAAACATAGGGCCACAGGTCTAATGACACGACTACAAAGTCGACCTTTGGCCTAAGGTACTCTGGTCCCAAGCACACTTATGAGCAACCTTATGTTTGAACATGGTGTTCGTTATGGCCAATCCGTGACTCGCACAGAAGTCCAATAACAGAACACCACTCAGGTTCAGATCGGGCAGGCCGTTCCTCCCAGTCATGTCCCTCCAGGTTTCACTGTCATTGCCCATGTGAGCATTGAAGTCCCCCAGGACAAGTCTGGAGTCCCCAGGGGGCACCCCTTCCAGGACACTACCCAGAGACTCCAAGAAGGCCAGATGCTCTGAACTGCCATTTGGTGCCTAAGCACAAGCGACAGTGAGAATTTTTCCCTCTGCGACACGCAGTCGCAGAGAGGCAACCCTCATTCTCCGGGGAGAACTCCAACAAGGCACCACTCAGCTCAGTAGCCCCACACCCGCCCGGCACCTCTCACCATGGGCAACTCCAGAAAAGGAGAGAGTCCAGCCCCTCTCCAGGAGGTTGGTTCCGGAGCCCTTGCTGTGCATGGAGGTGAGCCCGACTATGTCTAGCCGGTAGCGGTCCACCTCCCATACCAGCTCAGGCTCCTTCCCCACCAGTGAGGTGGGAGCTAGTCTCCGCCACCAGGGGATGGTACGCCAGGATATCAGCTCCTGCCTACCACCCGGTGTGCATAGTACCTGACTGTTGGGTGCTAAAACTGAGATGTTTTAAAGTCTAATTTTTATTTTTATTTTTATTTTTTTTTAATTGCCGAAAATAAACCATTTGCATTAACCGGATTTTGCAAATAAATAAATATTCTGTGCTCATAGATGCAACTGGGAAGCCATAAGTGACTCAACGGCAACCAAAACTTGTGTGAGAAAATTCTGGAATATTTCGGCTGAACTGCAGGATGTGTTTGCACGTAACATGCATGAGACAAAATAAACATTCAATTAATAAAACGTCTATAGTATGTAGAGTCATCTTTTTTGTCCAGTACTTGTAACTGCGGGCTCTCAGATAAATATTTTATGTGCTGCTTTCAAGTTTTTTACATTTTTGTAAAATATTTAATCAGACACATTCAACTGTTTTTTGTTTTGTTTTTTTGAGGATTTATGGCATTATAATTGTGTCATACTGCACACAGGACATTTCTGAGTTTTCTACATCTGCACATG